GTCAGGAGGACCTGAGTTCAAATCCGGCCTCAGACCAAACACTTGACACCTACTAGCTATGTGACTCTGGGCAAGTCACTTAACCCCAATTGCCTTAAAAAGAAAGAAAAAGAAAAAAGACTGTAAGTTTCACATCCTTATTAGTAAAAGCAGTTGCTCACCCAGGACTTGGTATGCGAATGAAATCATGTCCAGTCCCAATCTCAGTGGGTGGTTTTGAGAATCAAATGCAATAACATTTGATATAAATTGATTTTTCGATGTAATATAAATTGATTTTTCAGATGAGATAACATATAAATTGATTTGTCAAATCTTAATATATAATTGTGTTGCTTGGAAAGCTCTATCTTGAAAGGTAGAAAGTTTCCATGGAAGGTGTTTTTGTTTTGTTTTGTTTTGTTTTGTTTTTTGGTTAGGCAATGGGGGTTAAGTGACTTGCCCACGGTCACACAGCTAGTAAGTGTTATGTGTCTGAGGCTGGATTTGAACTCAGGTCCTCCTGAATCCAGGGCTGGTGTACCACCTAGCTGCCCCCTGATTTGTCAAATCTTAAAGCACTATATAAGTGATAGCTATCATCTTCATCGTGATGATCATCCTTATTACTTTAATTGGACACAATGGGAGGGAATGGGAAGGGAGGAACCCTAAGGTCCACTCTGGCCAAAAATTCCTTTCACTAAACTCTTCCTCGGTGGGTAGGACCTTGGATTTGGAATATTGGGGACCACAGACCTCTACACTTCTAGCTGGGTGTCCTTGGACAAGTCACATAACTTCTCTGTGCCTCAGTTCCCTCATTAAAAAAAAAAATTAAGAGGGTTGGGTGTCTAAGGTGTCTTCCTACTCTGATTTCTGATTTTCCGATTCCCAGAGAGGAGGAGGCGAGAAGCCATCGCTGCTGCAACCTGCCTGACAGAAGCCTTGGTGGACCACCTCAATGTTGGGTATGCTCCTTACCTGGGCCCCTCAGACTGGACATGACATGTTTAGCCACCCCTCCTATTCTCCCTCTTCATCCCAAGCTAAGACTTCATTATGAAGCCTGAGGAGGGAGTCTGCTGGGGAAACCAGATTGGCCACGTCTCTGTGGCCTAGCATCACTGATGCCACCTGCCCACCTTCTGTTTCCCCGTGACCATGTCCAGCTGTCTTTTCAGTGGGAAAGCAACATCTCTCCCCTTACCACAACTCCCCCTTCCCGACCTTCTGGCAGGCCCAGAGGGCAGCTAGCATGACAGGCACAGCTGAACATATAGCAAGCCTGTGCCAGGACTGGCACACCGCCAGGTTTCTTCTTTCCTTCCTCTCTCTGGGTCCTTAACTCTCCGTGTTCCTCCAAGATTGGAACCAGGGGACGGAGACAGGGCAAATGATTGGATGCAGAACCTGGGCTGGTGTAGAGTAGGGCATGACTTTCTGCCCTTTTTGACTAAAGCAGAAAGCCAGTACTTTCTCCCTGGGCAGAAGAGAGAATAGTGTGATCTCTTCTGCCCCCTGGGAACAGCTTGGATGTGGTTGTGAGGCCTGAGTCACCTAAGTGTCAGCCATTTGTGCTGTGGGGTCAGACTTAGCTCAAATTAGCTCATTTCCCTTAAGTGGAGAGAGCTATTGATTGGGGGATGGGAAGGCCCCTGGAGGGAAAGACGAGTAAGTGGTCCTTAGCTTGGGGGTTTGGAACAGATTGGGGATGGTGAGCATCAGACATTTCCCACCAGCTCAAATCCCAGACCTGGAGGCTCTACTTTGAAAGGGAGTGAAGGGGAGCACTCCCTTCTTGCTTCTTGACCCCGTCTTTCTGCTACTCTGGCCTCTCCCACCCCAGCTGTGGCTCAGCTGTCTCCTAAAGAGCAGGAGCTGTCTGCCCCAATTTTTTTTCCCTCCTACATTGGCGCCTTCTGGGCTGCCAATGCCCACAGCCTGTGAGACTCAGCTAGCTTCTCCCCCTCTGCCAGCCCCCCCTCTCCTCACCATGGATGGGGAGGGGGTGAGGAGGGGGGGCAGCTGTCCCACTTCCCAGTGCACAGAGCTGGATTTGAAAGGGTTTTGTGTGGCTGCCCACAGCCCCTCTCACTCCCCGGAAGAGAGAACAAAGACTCTGTCTGTCCTAGCCCTGGTCAGGTGTTCTGCCCACTCTCCCGGCCCTTCCCCCTTCAACCTCCCTGATCCCCTGACTGCTTCGGCCCCCACAGATTCCGCCCTTGGAGGCCCAGAAGAGTGCTGGCAGTGGGGAAGTGGGAACTCAATGTGAGGTCTCCAGCACTTACTGTGGGGCAGGGAGAAGAAATACAAGTACCCCAACTCATGGGAGGGGGCTGGGGGGCAGAGATGTGTCCCATCTTCTATCATTTCCTTGACCCTTTACACACAGCCAACTTGTTTGGGAAGGGTGCTTCACAGGGGTGAAGAGAAAAGCTGCCCTGCTCTTAGGCCCTGTGTATGTCCACACAGGAGGGGGGAAAGGGAGAGGAGGAAATGACAGTCCCTCAGGGCCCCTCCTCTCTTGACCCAGCGTTCCTGGGGTGGGGGGCACTCCCCCATACCACCCTCAATTCAGGGAGGGGTCCAGCTTTCCCTCCCCATCAGGCCCAACTTAGCCTCTTTCTCTGATCCCCAGGGCTCCCAATCACTGCCAGATGTTTTCCTACTGCTAAATTTTCCCAGCATCCCCCCACCCCACTCCCTCTTCCTACCCTTGATTAACCCACCCTTCCCCCATACCCTACTTCCCAGTTGCAGGAAAGCTCACCAGGATAGGGAGGAAGTGGATGAGGTATGCTGGTTGAGAGCCAGCATCGAATTGAATGTGCTAGAGAGAAAAGAGGTTTTTTTTTTCTTTTATATATGTTTGTATTTTATTTGCATAGTATGAATTGATCATCCAGAAGTTCGAAGAGTTCTTTCTCTAGTTCTCTCCTCTGCCTTTCTTCCCTGCATTAGGAAGCTAGGCTGGGCTGGGCTAGAGAGTCCCCCCAGAGCAGGCAGAGCTGACACCCCTTCTGATCCCTTCTCCTCCAGCGTGGCCCAGGCCTACGTCAATCAGAGGAAGCTAGACCATGAGGTGAAGACTCTCCAGGTCCAGGCCACACAGTTTGCCAAGCAGACAGGCCAGTGGATTGGGATGGTGGAAAACTTCAACCAGGCACTCAAGGTAGGTCCCACCAGGCTTCTTCCTCTCTGTGCCAGCGCCTCGTGTGGTCCCTTCCGTTCCATTGCTCTCTGGTCCTCAGCGGGATTTTCAGGCCCCAGCCGTGGGGGTAGGGAACTAGAAGAAGCCAAACCAGAGTCCTGCCTCCTACTCTCCAGCTTCCTTCCCTCAGGGCTGGCTAAGCAGCAACACCTTACATTTGTATGTAGCTTTTAACTAGTGCTTTCACATGACCCTGTGAGACAGGCAGGGTGGATGTTGGCCCATTTTATAAATGGTGAAACATTTGTATGTAGCTTTTAACTAGTGCTTTCACATGACCCTGTGAGACAGGCAGGGTGGATGTTGGCCCATTTTATAAATGGTGAAACTCGCTCAAAGCTAATCATATTATAATTAGCTGAGAGTCAGCTAAGTCTCCTGACTCCTCACTCAGTTCTTAAAAGTGAATCCAAAGCTTACTTAATTTAGAGCCCAGGCTTTTAACTTGGGGTCTCAACTTGTTTATTTTTAAATAACTACCTTTTGGTAACTATATTTTAATATACTTATGTGTAAAATGAGCTGGAGAACGAAATAGCAAACCACTCTGGTGTCTGACAAGAAAAACCCAAATGGAGTGTCAGACTTGACTGAAAAACTAAACAACAACAAAATTTTAATATAATCGGTGTCCTTTGTGATTCTCTGTATTTTACGGTGTATTTAAAAACACTTTTTTGAGAAGAGGTCTCTAGGCTTCCAAAGGACACAAAAAAAGCTTAGGAACCCCTGGTTTCAAAGTTACAAAGGGCCATTCGTTGTGGAGAGAGGGGAGAAGAGCAACTGGTCCGGTCAAAAGTAGGTGGGCAAAGGAGCCTCTTCTTGGGCAGTGGGCGATGGGAAGATTTCAAGGCTTTGTGGCACTCCCTAACTCTTCCCTCCCTTTTTTCTGTGTCTGTCCTCGTCAGGAAATCGGAGATGTGGAGAACTGGGCTAGGAGCATCGAACTAGACATGAGGACAATTGCCACAGCTCTGGAATATGTCTACAAGGGGCAGCTGCAGCCGGCCCCCTCCTAGCTTCATCCTTTCTTCCCCGCAGCTACTCAGCTGTCTGCTCAGTCCCTGAGGTCTCTGGCATCTCTTCTGTCCCACTTACTCTCAGCTAACCAGGGGAAGGGGAGGTCAGCAAGATCCTCAATAAAGCATGAGTGTCTGGCCATCTGTAGTATGTGTTTGGACGGGCAGCCAGCTTCGAGGAAAGAGTGGTTTATGGGGCTTTGGGAGTAGAACCAGCTTGCCCCCCAGTGCCTTGCCAAGCACAAAAAGGAAGGATGTTACACCGACCCCATCTTGGAGTACTGGCTAGCCAGCCAGCCTGATTCAGGGCAGGCCCTAGTCGCTAAGCACAGGGAAAAGTGAGACAAGAAGCAGCTGAGGACCCCCAGATTCTGGTTGTCTTCTACACCATTCATACACGTGTTCCCTGCTAAGGCTGGCGCAGAGCAGTCACGAGCCTGGGGTGGGCCGGGGCATAAGGTGGATAAGGCAGTAAACTAAGCAGCAGGATAAAGAGCGGATGTGGGGATGGGGATTGGGTAGCATTCCTAGGGGAGAGGAGCGTCTCACAGGTCCACCCCAAGGCTACTCACCACTCCCTGATGAGGGAGAAAACATTGGGGTGGGAGGTACGTAGAGGAAACAGGTCCCAGGAGAGAGTCCAAGCAACCCTGGCCCCTGCCAAGGATTAAGTTCAGCCCATCAGGTTGGGTTTACCCAGTCCTTAATGCCCCAGCTGCCTGGAGCGTCCATCCCTTCTGGACTTTGTACTCTACTGCCAATAGGAGCCAGGCGGGGCAAGGGGCAGAGGGTCAGAATTCCTGAGAAACAACAGGAGAAAGAGCTGGGGCACTGTGCCGTGAAAGCTGGTCCCTGAGGTAAGCCGTGGGCGGATGGGAGGCCTCCAGTTGGGGATCACAGAGCAGGGTTTTGGGGACAAGTAGGTACAAATAGTAGCAATTCTTTGTTACTACGTAACTTTTAGCTTCTCAAAGTGCTTCTGTGTACATAGCTCATTTGCTCTTCAGCCACCATGAAAGGCAAGCCGGATGGACAGACAAAAGATGGGGAAACTATGGTAACAGCTTCAACTAGAACCCAGGTCTCTTGACTCCTGGCCTAGGCCCCCCTCAAAGTAAGGCCCAGCTAAATTTCAACGTAAGGCCTAGGTTAAATTTAAACACTATGGAAGGGCTCGATAGGGAGGGGAGGAGAGCGCATGCCTGCCAAACAGAATGGTGCTAAGTGAGAGATTTCTACTCCACGTCCCTCTCATGTAGATCCACAGTGAATGGTGTGGCTCTGAGGACTTCTGTCTGCATAGAAATGTCTTTCTCCTTGCTTGCCTTCTTCCCCACCCCTGGATTCACCTGAGATACTGCCTAGGTCTGCCCGGACTATAGGTATCAAGCCAGAGAGGGTGGCAGAATCCAGAGAAAGAAAAGCAGATTTTAAAATGTGAAGTGTAGACAGAAACTCCAACAGGACAGCCTAGACCATCTTTTGCAATTGAATCCTTAATTCAGAGGTCTTGGGGCTCTCTCTCCTACCATGTGGCCGCTCCTGTTTCTTGGGACCCTGCTTTGGGGAATATTGTGGTTCCTGCGAGACCGGCAAGTGCTACCCCCCAGTGATGCCTTCATATTCATCACTGGCTGTGACTCGGGCTTTGGCCGGCACCTGGCGCTGCGGCTGGACAGACGAGGCTTCCGAGTTCTGGCTGGTTGCCTGACACCCACAGGGGCAGAAAACTTGAAGCGGGCTGCTTCTCCTCGACTCTGCACCACGCTCCTGGATGTCACTGACCCCCAAAACATCCAGCAAGTGGCTGAGTGGGTGGGGACGATCGTGGGAGAGAGAGGTGAGTGGGGAGAGAAGTGTCAAACGGTGTCGAAGATGCCAGCGGCACATCACCAGCATTACTCCAGGAAGCAAACTTAGGGACTCTATGCAGGGAAAAAAGGACTTCTCAGCCCCGTGTGCTAACTAGATGTATGTAGGACTACCTCTGTATTTCAAATTTGAGCCCACGCTCCCCGGGGACCTTGTATATGCAAGGTAGGAGTGAATCCCCACTTGGGAGATGTTCCTATAAATTCTGTCCTCTATACCTCCTCAATAAATTTCCCTTTGTAAACTCTAAATATATATATGTATATATATGTATATATCTCAGTGGCACACTCCCTGCAATCCTCCCCCCATTCCTCCAGCCCTGGGCATCTGATCAAATTCTCACTAGAAGTAACAGAATAACTCACATCCCACATTTTCCATGAAATCTTCCCTGATTCCCCCTGTCAGTAACAACCACTGGTCCATTTCATGAGCATTTTTTCGACCTGTCCTATTTACTTATATATCTCTTATATACCTTATATATAATTATACACACATGTGTCATTGTATGTGTTATACCCCTAACTAGACTCTCTTAAAGGCAGGGACCATATCTTATTTAAACTTGGTAGTTCCCCCAATAGGTAGCCTAATGCTCGGCCCACAGGCATTCAATATTTATCTAATTGGATAGGGTGCTTCAAGCTTTCAGGGGGTCAATGAGGCCTGTTTTTTTTCCCCTACCCAACCACCAACAATTCCAACAGGGCTCTTTGGGCTGGTGAATAACGCAGGCGTCACTGGGATCATCGGTCCTACCCCGTGGCTGAATCTGGAGGATTACCGGAGAGTACTCGAAGTGAACACACTGGGTCCCATCGGAGTGACCCTTGCCCTGCTGCCCTTGCTACAACAGTCACAGGGTCGAGTCATCAACATCACCTCCGTCCTGGGCCGTCTGGCTGCCAATGGTGGGGGCTACTGTGTCTCCAAATATGGCCTGGAGGCCTTTTCTGACAGCCTACGGTGAGGGGGGAGGGGGCCTAACCCAACACCCTAAGATGCAGGCATCACAAGGGTCACATCCAGGACACTTGAATATGTCGCTCCAACTGTGATTCCTTCATTCCAAGTCCCCCCTCACCTTCATCCAGTCTGCATCGCTCACTTGCATAGGTCTTTATAGTCATCTCTGTGCCCATCTCCTATATACGGGTCCTTTCTCTTCCATCAGACTAAGAGTACCCAGACAGGAAGAACCATGTGTCTCTTTCCTACCCATTCCAGTGCCAGAACAGGGTGCAGTCTAGGATGAGGGGAAATGAACCCCAAAGGTCTCTAACCCTATCTCCAATGGTGTAAGATGCACCATTCACAGAATTCAAATGGCCCACGCCCACCATGGCTTCCTACCCTAGTTTTTAGTTGGGGGAGATCCCTCAATTCCATCTCCCATCCTATCCATCACTTGTAGCTTTTAGGGAACTACCCTCATGGGGCAATAACCCAAGGGGGAAAATCTCTTCTATTTTCTGATATTCCACATTCCAGACGGGACATAGCTCCCTTCGGGGTACGGGTCTCTATCGTGGAACCAGGCTTCTTCCGCACAGCAGTGACCAACTTGGAGTGTGTGGAGGGGACGCTTCAGGCCTCCTGGAAACGGTTATCTCCTGCCACTCAGGCCAGCTACGGGGACAACTTCCTCCCCAAGTGTGAGTAGCTGGAGCTGAGGATGCCAAGAATCCATTCTGAACATGAGAGATGAAGAGGGTGGGGCACAGCGCCTCCTTCAGTCCATCCAGGGGGTGTGGTCTCCCCTATCCAAATAAACTGGAGCAGGGAGGGAGGTAGTATATTGTCTACTTACAATAACGGAAGGAGGAAGGAGTGGGTAAGAGCATGGCTCCTGTTCCAGCCTGCCTCGTGATAGACAGGAAAGGCAAAGGAGAGGCCCATGGAAGAAACAGGGTCTGGTAGGAATAATAATACTAATGTGCTGGTGCCCAACCAAACCTGGAGCATGTGGCCCTCCTACCCCACAGATAACCCTGGAGGGTCTGAATGTCCTGGGAGCAAACCAGACTGGTGAAGAAAATGAATACTGGGCAGGGGAGGTTGGGTGAAGGAAGATGTGATCTCCGCTTCTCTCCCCAGACCTGAAGGTACAACGGTTCATCATGAACCTGATCTGTGACGGGGACTTGGGCAAGGTGAGCAGCTGCCTGGAGCATGCACTGACTGCCTGCTACCCCCGCACAAGATACAGTCCTGGATGGGATGCCAAGCTTCTCTGGCTGCCTGCCTCCTACTTACCTGCCAGCCTGGTAGACGCTATACTCACTTGTGTTCTTCCCAAACCTGCCCAGACTGTCTGCTGAACCCATTAGCCTGGAGGAAACTGAGGCACAGAATGGAAAGCAAACACTATAAACTATAATCACCACCCAAATTGAGCTGCCCCATCCCGACCTTTATTCCCTTTCTGAGGATCAAGATGTTTTTTAAAATAATCCCTCCAGTTTTGCAAATTTCCTTTCGAAAAAAGGCTGCCACAAAAAAAGTGGCCACCAGAGGGAGTGCCAGATACACTCTCCCCAGGGTTGGAAGCCTTTATTCCGGGCTCGATGAGGGTGCACTTCAGTAGATCATCACTGGATGTCACTCTTCATTGCCAGTTGGGTCTTAGCCCTTCTTCATTGGTACCCATCCCCTGGTTAAAGCTGGACACCGTCAAGACTGGCATGGTGGGGGGCAGTGAATCTGGAAACTTCTCCTTCGGGTAGGAGCTCCCCTTAAAGGGCATGTCCAGAATTTTTGCAGATCAGTTCATCAGTGTCCCAGCACAGGGCACAGCCTAATCATGATGCCACAGGCTCAGAGAGAAGAAGCTGGGCATCATTGATACCAGGCCCTTGGCTCCCATGGTATCTTCTTCCCTCTTCCATTCTCAGCTGCTCGTGATTCACCCTACCACTCCCAAAACTAAATTCCTGGTTTCCTCCCTATCCACTCTCCCATAACTACCAAGAGGGCAAAAGGACTGGAGGGCTGTGGGGACATGAGTGCAGGAAAATGAAACACAGGACTGTGAAGGGAGACAAACACCAGGCACGGACACACAAGAAAAGGGCCATGGGAATAGACTTGGAGATGAAAAAGAAGGCATCATGTTCCATGGGGAAAACCACTGGGTTTGGAAATAAAGGACCCAGGTTCAAACTTGGTAAATTTTGCAATTATGTGATCATGGACAAGCCACTTCCCCAGTCTGGGCCTCAGATTAAATTACCTCTAAATTTTCCCCCAATACTAAATAATTTTATGATCCTAAGAGTGCATGGGAGAGGGGGCAAAGAGGCAAGTCCAGGACTTGAGGGGGAAAAAAAAGCCAGGAGCCATGGATCTGAAGGACAAATTCACACTTTGTTTCTTTTCAGAGTGAAAAAAAAAATCCATTTATTAATTGAAAAACCCAGGACACACTAGCCCACTCCCTTATTGCCATGAGAAGGTGGTGAGGGGCAGAGAGCGCCCCTACATCACCTCATAGCCACTCCTGATACTCTTCATGAGGCAGCAGGCAAAGATAACTCCCAGAATCTGAAAGGAAAAAAGTGTGTAAATGGGTGGGGCAGGCATAATCAGGAATATGACATGGGCAGAAAAGTATACATTAGGGGAATGAGTCCAAGGCCAGGCAGACTGGCACTAGGGATAGCAGTTTACTTAGTACACAGTGGGCTCTGCACCATCCCACCCCACCTTGGGGACCCCCTCACCTCCACGAATGTGACACCCAGTGCTACACCTGCTAGCACCAAAGCTCTGTGCTTTAGCCAATTTCCAATCTTCTCCACACAGCCCTGGGAAGATGCAAGGGACTTTCACAAACTCACCTTCTTGCTCATTTATACCCTGTCCCCAAGCCTGGCTTCCCTAAACCCCACCAGTCCCAAGTCTGTCCTAATTCTCACTCTCCCATCCCTGCTGGCTCTCTTCAACCCTATACCAGACCCAGCTTTTAGTTTCTTCAGATCACCAGTTCCCTGGGCTTCTCTAACATCCTAGACCCTCCTTGAAGAAAAGATCCTGCCCCCATTCCTAGGTTCCCTCAGGCTCTTGACTTTCCAGAGATCTCTAACTCCTCCAGTCCCCCTAATCTCCAGTCCTTTTCTCTCTCCAGTCTTTTAGCTATGCCTAACCCCTAATCACCACCCACCCCACATACTTCCTGGTTAATGTCCGAAGGTTTGAAGTTAGTTCCACAGTTTTGGGTGATATTGATGCAGCAAGAGTCAGGGATGCTGTTCTTGGGTATTTGGGACACTTGCTCCCAATCTGTATAGTTCACTGCCCCACAGCATTTAAACTAGAATGGAGAGAAAGGTTGGTGAGGAGATTGGCCAAATAAGGGGGAAGGAAAATAAATAAATAAATAAATAAATGATGAGGGGGGAAGGTCCTCTAGGCCAAGGCTCACGGGCCAGGCTAAAGTACCCCCGATGCAAAATGTGACTCTACAAGGCAACCAGGTGTTGGGGGATTGGAATTGAGGTGAAGAAAAAGAAGCTATAAGGCTTTTTCCAAAAGGCTGGAAAAAATTGGATTGGTAGATATTGTGCTCAAAAGCTTCCTGGGTCATCCTATCCCCTATAACTATTCCTCTAGAGTGGCCTATCTCTAGGGAATTACCACTACCCCCAAAACTTACATTGAAAAAATTTATTGATGCTTTTTATTTTTGTATCACAGTCATTTCTGGATATAGCCCCCTCTCCCATCCCCCCTCTTCTCCCCCTCCCCCCAACTCACTCCTTCCTGCAACTTATCCAAGAACCGTGCTGTGTTGTTATTTTTCTCATACTCCTTCATCTCATCCCGGAAGCCTTTGTCAAACTCTGACTTCACCTGGGAGATGGGGGAAAAGAAGTATTAAGGGATGCCCCCTTGCCAAGCTCCAAAATGATCATGGTGAGCTCTCTGGGAACCACAGTCACATCCCACCCTCCTAGGCCAAACTCTTATCCCCTTCATCACAGTCTACTTACCTTGTCCCTGAAGACATATCCAGCAATAGCTGCAGCCACCTCTACTAGGACAATGAGGGACAGAAAGATGGCAAACTAAAAAAGAGGGGAAGAAATAGGTGGAGAGAAGAGATGGAGTTCTAGATCAGATTAGGGGTCAGCCCTGCCCATATCACCATCATCATCATAGTCATTACCATCTTTATCCCAAGTGGTCCCCTATCCCTCACCTCCCTACCTTTGCTATAGGATGATTCAGCATCATTTTCATTCCTCCCTCCTGGTCACAGACCCCTGTCCTTTAGTCCCCTGGGTCTCCCCCATCACTCCCGTAAACCACTGTCACCCAATCCCCACAGTCATCCCTCAGCCTCTATGCCCCCTCTTACCGTGGTCATAAGACAGTAATTCTCCTTACAGGTAGCACAACAGCCCAAGAAGGCCACAAGGAAGAGGAAGGTACCCAAGGCTATGATGACAACAGGCACCACAGAGCCTGTGGTGGACCCAATGGGTATGGTCTGGTTCAAGGTGAAGTGAACTGCCACGCCTACTGCAATCAGCCCCACCGCACAGGCCTTCAAGAGCAGAGGCAGCAGGTTAGTTAAGGTGGGATAGGGTGGGGCCTAAAGCACTGTCCAGCTTCCCCCACCCAACACAAATACACGGGATATACTCCTCCTTACTATAGACAAACAGTGAAGCATCCTGAAAAGAGCAAGCACTCCATGGTCTTTAAGACAACCCAGGTTCAAGACCTGGCCCTGATACTTAGCAACTTGGTGACCCTGGACAAGTTATTGAACTTAATGAAGGAGTACCCACTGATTGGGGAGTGACTAAACAAATTGTGCTGTAGGGATGTCCTGGAACGTTCTCTCAGAACTGATAAACACAAGGAACTCAGAGAATCATGGAAGACTTGTATGAAGTGATGCATGGCTGAAAAAGCCAAAGCAAAAGAACAACAGGTCCCATTACTAGAACAATGTAAATAAAGGCACTAAAAAGAGGCAGAAACCTCCACTTCAATGACCAACTTTGCTTACAGAGAGCAAGGCATGAGACACCTATGGGTCCCTCCAGGTTCTCAATGTTGCATATGCCATCAGCTGGGGCTGCTCAGTCAGTTCTGCTTAGCTACTTTTCTTTGTTTCAAAGGCAGGCTCAATGGAAACGAGAGGTAAGCTAGATCAGGAAACCCCCATAACATTTACCAAAAAAGATACACACATATACATGTGTGTACGTATATAGATAGACACAGATATGTCACTTAACTTCCTCGTGCCTCAGTTTCTTCATCTGTAAAACGAAGATAATATTCTCGCTACCTAACTTACTACAAACTGCAAGGAAAGCAATTTTTTATATAGATAGATATATAGATATATATATATATATAGATATATATATAGATATATATATATATATATGAAGAATCACCCTCCATATCAGAGCACCCTAGAGTTTATAATGCATAATATATGTGTGTGTGTGCATGCATGTATGTGCATGTACAGCTAGATGGCACAGTAGTCACTTAACCCCTGCCTGCAAAAAGCTAAGAGAAGGAAATGGCAAACCACTTCAGTATCTTTGCTGAGAAAACCGTATGGACAATATGGTCCATGGAGTCATGAAGAGTCAGATATGACTTAACAACAAAAACAATAAAATCTCTGTCTCTGTGTGTGTGTGTGTGTGCGCGCGTGCCCACAGACGCACGCTCTGACCCTAGAGTAGGACGGCTAAGTGGTGCAGTGGATAGAACACTAGGCCAGGAATCAGGAAGACTCATCTTCCTTAGTTCAAATTCGGGCTCAGACACTTATTCACTTTGTGACCCTGGGCATGTCACTAAACCCTGTTTGCCTCAGTTTCCTCATCTGTAAAATGAGCTGGAGAAGGAAATGGCAAACCACTCCAGTATCTTTGCCAAGAAAACCCCAAATGGGTGTCACAAGGAGTCAGAGCACAACTGAAAAATGACCAAACAATAACAATGATCGTGTGTGTGTGTGTGTGTGTGTGTGTGTGTGTGTGTGTGTGTGTACTGTTGTTTAATCTGACTCTTTGTGACCTCATGGACCATACTGTCCATGGGGTTTTCTTGGCAAAGATGCTGGAGTGGTTTGCCATTTCCTTCTCCAGTGGATTAAAGCAAACAGAGGTTAAATGACTTACCCAGGGTCACACAGGTAGTAAGTGTCTGGAACCATATTTGAACTCATGTCTTTCTGACTCCAGGCCCAGAGCTCTTTAGCTGCCTCAACATGTGTGTATAAACATACATATACACACAGATCTATACACATATGTATGCATATACACACACACAAATATATACACATATATGTATATATTGTTGAAGAATATAGACTTAGCCTTTTACTTCCTCCAAGGATTAGAGAATAGGACTGCCCATTCTTAGCCAAAGGCAGTTGGAGGGATTTCAAAAAAAGGGGAAGAGGTAAGTCCCTGACCTACATTTACTCTCCCCTAGACCATCCCCCACGGATGCCACTTCCCCCAAAAACTCCCTCACTCTAGGAATCCATTCAAGCTCAGGTGCCACTCCCACACAAGACATTTTCCAGATTCTCTCCTAACCCCGACCTATATTCATTTTCTATCCTCTTCAAATTACTTCGTATCATTTTGTATCTACTTTGTGTTTACTTAACTGCCTATGTTATGTGTGTTGCCCTCCCCCCCCCAGTAATCACTGTGAGCTCCTTAGGCAGGGACTTTCACTTTTGGGGGGGGAGGGTGTTGTATCCCTAGTACCTAGCACATAGTAGGTGCTTAAAATATTTGCTGCACCGAATTCAATTCATCTGAGTTCTCTTTTTGGACCCAACTACCCAACTAGAAATAATGGTAATAAATACAAGCCTAACCTCAAGGCATACATTCCTGACTTCACTTGAATGATAACTGATATCCTGTGCCATGCCAAATGCCCAAGGTATCTCTTTGATCCCCAAGCGCCCTGTCCCGTCCCATCCAAGAGGCCCGGTATTGCCCACAATGCCACCTCTCCCCCTTCATTCCTTTTTTTTGCTCATCCCTTCACTTGACTCTCTGCTTGCTTCAGAACTAGGGAAATCTCTCTCCTCTAGCTTGCTACCAGAGTGGCTCCTGATTGAGATCAGTGGTAGATCAGGTTAGAAAAGGAGGTCAGGGCATTATCTCTTCCAAGGCAAATGAATTCTTTCCTTCTCTTAGGGGAAAGTAGGATTAAGGGCATGGAGGATGGGGACATTAGGGGGATGGGGGTAGTAAGCAAAAGGCTTCCAGGCTGGTCCTCCCTATATCACAATTCACAGAGAGATTCCATCTCTCCAACTCAGAGTCTGAAAGAAGTTACAGACTAAGGGGGCAGGGAGGAGAGCTTGCTGAAGATAGCATCTGCCCGTTGTCTAGTTGCCCATTACCACAGTTAGTTGGGTCACCAGACAGGAAGGGCCCAGAGACTGAGGGGGCAGGGAAAAGGAGTGGACAGGCTGGGGAGCTTGAGGTAAACCAAAATGGCCAGAAGACATAAGTCTTAAGGGTTCCTAAAAGAGCGGGAGTGGGGGCTGTTCTATATTTGCTTTTTAGCTGACCTCACACTTGATTTTCCAACCTACCACACACTCCATCCCAAGGCTTCCTCACCAGGAAGGTCCTTCATCCCCAAAGCCATGTTAGTTACTTAAGACTTACCCTAGAAGTTCTTGGGCACACACCCCCCCCCTTTGCCCCAGCTCCCACCTCCCCACAGGACAATGCTCGACTTACCCACTTCCACAATCCAACACACACACACACACACACACACACACACACACACACACTCCCACCTCCTACCCGTTCATCCCCGCTTACCAAAAAGCCCAACACTAAGACATAGAGCAGAAACTTGACACATTTCATTCCTCCTTCTACTGCCATGGCTGCTGGCCTGGGGGAGTGAGGCAAACGGGAGAGTGATCAGCAGCGGCTGGTGGGGGAGGGGATCCCGGCTTCCGGGCTCCCAGCCCACAGGGACTTCCCAGTAAGTCCCCCCATTCCCGGCCCCTCCCACCCGGAAACAGGCGGTTAGCTCCACGTCTCCCAGACCCCTCCCCTAGAGCCTGGGGTCTGATGGGCAGAGAAGCTCAGAACCCCATCTCCAGCGGGCCTCGCCCCAGCAGCCCCCGCCTCCTCCGACTCGAAGAGAACATCCGAAGGAAAGGAAGGCTAGGGCCGGACCAACTGACAACGGGCTGGACAGAGAAGTTCCAACCTCAATCCACGCCCCAGCGTACAATTTGCTCCCCTCGGTATTCCCCTCTCCCAAACTTAGGCACTTTTCTCCTTCCCCCCCATCCCCGATTACGTCCCTTCCTCCAAGCCCTGCTCCCCTTGCCTTGCCCCACCCCACCCCGCCTCACCCCGAGAAAAAAAAGGTTTGGCCACCCCACTGCCTCGAAGTTCGGAATAAAGTTTTTAAAAGACGTGAGCACATAGCTGAAAGACCAGGGGAGTGTCGGGGGAAGGGGAGAGTGGGAAGTGAGATGGTGGAGTACGACGCAGACCTGCCAGGAAAGTGACTCTCTCCCTTCTTCTCCACCACTTTGAGGTCCTAAACGTCCCCATACCCCCAGCCTCCAGCCCACAAACCTCACCTGATCTCCCCGAGCTTCTGAGATCCTCTCCCCACAGCTGTTCCTGGTCTCTCTCTGCTCCGACCCCCAACTCTGGCCCCGCCTGCCATGGCCCCGCCCCGGCTCCAGCCACTGCTGCCCCCTCCCCCCGCAGGGTGTCTGCCCGCCTCATGTGACGCGGGAGCAGCTGGAGCCTGAGTCACTCGGGCTTGAAAGAGGAGAGCGGCCCCCAACCCCCCCCAACACACACAACTCAACGTGGGTCATTCATCTCCTACTTACCCCGCCTCCCTCAGGTCCTTTCAGCTTTCCAAGGTGCCCCTAACCCCATAACTGCAAAGTGGTCCCTCTTCCTGCTCTGGCCCCCAGCAAGAGTGGCAGCTATGCCTTGGTCCCAGCTCTTATACTCACTTCTAATGGGACAATGGGCAAGTCACCCTCCCTGGCCCTCAATTTATTCAATTATAAAATGAAGCCTAACTGATCTTTATGATCCCTTGCACCTCTTTCTATTAAGAGCAGGATTCTAGAGAGCTGGAAGCTCCCCTTTGCCTCTCCAATTCTGAGGGAAAAGGAGAAAAATTGAGTAAACCTCTCCATCATTTCATAGCTCTGGGGGACAACCACTGGGAGTTGGGACGAAGCAAGCTGCTGAGTCAGAGGAGAGACTAGGACGTCATAGCTGAGTCCCTTGCTTGTCTTAGTGGTAACACAACACCCCAATCCAATGGCAAAGTTACATACATCTAGGCTTCAGTTTCCCGGAAAGGATTTAACACTGAGCCACTGAGTAGCAACTTTAGGAGATGGGGGCAAGAAGAAGGGTTACAAAGGCAGAGTCCTAACTTCTCCAGACTTCTCTGTCATTTCTCTAAGGTTAGGGATCCCTTCCTCTGAGAGCAGTGGAAACTCCTTGAAGGCAAGAAACTAATTTGGTGGTGGTTGGTTTTTTTTTCTTTTTCTTTTTCTTTTTTTTTTTTTGGTTTTTGTTTTTTAATCCCTAGCACCCAGCCCAGTGTTTTCTACACAACTAGGCACTTATAGACATTGGACTGAATTCTAGGGGTGAGGAGATAGGGAAACAGACAAGGAAGACAGCATCCCTATGCACCCTCCTAGGGGTGAGGAAAAGTGTGTTCCTTGTTATCCCAACCTTTGAACCAGACTTGTAGGTTGAGAAAGAGGGATCATAGGATTATAGATTTAAAGATAGAAGAGACCATAGAGGTCATCTAGTCCAAGCCCCTTAATTTGGGGAAAATGAACCCCAGAAAAATTAAGTGACTTGCCCAAGGTCTCACAGGTAGCTGGTGATGAGATAGGACACAAATCCATTTCCTTTGACTCCAAATCAAGTGTTCTTTCCATGTAAGAAGTTTAGACTGCACAATCACCCTCCAGATTCCCTATCCTTTAATATAGGAGCATCCAGACTCAGCCAGTAGCAGCACGAGAGGCCTCCTACATCCCCATCCTCCACTCTTGTCAGGCCTGGGTGGAAAAGTGATGAGAGGTAGAGAGAAAGGAAATATGGAAAACAGAGGAGAGTGCTGGGCTGGAAACCAAGAAGCCTGGGTCTCACATCCTGCATAGGGGAGAGGTTCTTAACTTTTTTTGCATCACAAGACCCTTTTGAAGTCTAGTAAAGCTTACATGATATATTTTTCATTGTATTTAAATGCATAAAACATATAGGATTACAAAGGAAACCAATTACATTGAAATACTTATCAAACTATTTTTAAAATAAAATTCACAGACTCCAGGGTAAAGAATCTCTGGTCTAGGGGAAGTTATTTTGAGAGGGCAGCAAAAAGAGAGCTGAAGTTGGAGTTTAAGAGAGTATTGGGGGCCAGAGCTCCAGGGGTCTAGGGAGACAGCTAAATATGGCAAATGAAAAATGGAGAGGGGGGATGTGGGAGGACAGTCAAGACAAATGCCAAAGAAAGACAAAGACAAACTTTGTTCATTCTCTAATAAGTCAGTAAGTTAAATAATAAGTAATTAATTTAATAAGTTTTCATTAATTAAGGAGGTTATTTTCAGTGCCTAGAGTCCTAGATCCCCAGGCAATGAACACAGAATAGCCCACCCATGAGTACCAGAAGGAAGGCTCCAGAAAGTACAAAAAGAGAAAAAAAAAGACAAAAAGAGTAGAAATGGGACTTTTGAGGGGAGATCCAATTATTCTCTAATTCATGGATTTGATAACACACCAATCAGAGCCTTCAGAATCAACTCCAAGTGATTACAGTCCAGGCATGACACTAAACCACTAAACTAAGCCCAGAACTGTGGGCTCCTCTAAGTGACCGGGGGTAACTAACCTGAGGCAGAAACTTATGCCCATCCTGGTAGTTTGGCAGGGTGCCTGCCAGCTCCACCACACCCCAGCCTAGTACCAGAGCAGAACATTTGGCAAGTAGATGTTCTAGGCAAAGTCCATGCCCTCAGTAGATATTTTGCTAGGCAAAATGCCTCACAAAGAAGTGTATAGCCAGTACCAAAGGCCTTTTAGAGCCAGGGGCTACGTATAAAAAAACATCCAGTGTCTTCTGGGTTAATGCCCTTCCTTCCCTCCACTCACTACCACCACTCCCAGATGAATAAATATGTCAACAATGACAGCTATCTAGGTGACTTGGTATGAAAGATTCTAGTGAACTCAAGATTTCCCCATTCAGGGGGAAGGGGAGAGATGGGAAGACCTTGGAAGGGGGAGGAATGGACATGGATATGGGGATACAGAATAGAAAAAGAGAAATGGAGATGGGAAATAAATGGAAGGATAGAGGTAGGGAAAGATTGGCAATAGGGAAGGATGGAGTAGAATGAATTTGGGACCAGGGGGCCTGGATTCAGATCCCAATACTACCAGTGTGACCTTGGGCAAGTCACTTCTCACTGGGACTCAATATCCCCATCTGTAAATTGAGAGAGGTCAGACTAGATGACCAATCTATGACCCCCCCTCATTCTGAATACTTTTCCTATCTTAACATATCCCTGGAATCCTTCATCCATCCACCACTGATTCCTTCCATTTGGCCGTAGGACTCTCTGACCTTTCAGTCAGGTCACTCACCTCTGTTCGTTCACTCAACATACATTTTGTAAGCATGATTATAAAATCAAGTGTTATGTTATACACCAGAGATATGAAGATGAAAAAATTACATAGTCCCCTATGGTTAAGTAGAGCTTACAGTCTAGTAGAGAAATAAGATAGGTACACAGATAAATATCATTTAGAATAAGAAAAGTACTTAGGTGCCAAACAGAAAAAAGTGGGGAGAGATTATCTAATAATAATTCAGATTTTTATACTACTTTACTGTTTTAAAAGTTCTTTCCTCACCACTACCCTGTTAGCTTTTGCTCACAATAATAGCCTAGACCCAGAGGAGAAAGGTGAGATAATATAAGTGCCAGCACCCCCATTTTACAGAATAGGGAAATCAAGACTTAGGGAACGGTAATAAAAATAGAAAAGAAGGCAGCAAGGATTTCAGTCTCCTCAATCTGCATATCGGCTAGTGTTTTAAAGTCATAGGAGAAATTTACACCTGCTCCCATCCTACCTTCTCTTCAATGAATGCGTGGAATAGTGTGCCTCCTGCTGGCAGGGTGGAGCAACAAAGGCTGCTCTGGATACAGCTTCCAAGAAGGCTATGAAGACCCAGCCATTGTCCTGGTGGAAAGGAGGGAGAAGGAAGTAGAAGAATAGGGGTCAAAGGCCCCTAACCTCTGTGGCTTCATGAGAAATATACTGAGACAGAGGTTCTTAACATTTTTTGTGTACTGAACCCCTTTGGCAGTCTGGTGAAGCCTGTGGACCCCTTCTCATATTACAGTTGTAAATGCATATAAATATATAGGATTACAAAAGAAACCAATTATATTGAAATTGTTATAAAAAAGTTTTAAAAATTCACAGACTCCAGATTTAAGAACCTTTTAAAAAAGGGAGACACAACACATAAGTCCTGCAAGTCAGATGGAAAGATCCTTGGGGTCCGTTGAGTGGTGCAGCCAAACAGATGGTAATGAATCTTCTTTAGTTTCATTTCCATCGATAAAACTCTTATCTATTTCTGATGTTGAGTCATGTGAGAAGGCCAAGGCCTTTGGTGGTGAGCACTGTTTTTTTCTTGGTCTTGAGTAACTATGGCTGCCAAAGTGGGAGGGGGAGAGCAGGGAGAGCCATAGGACCTGCAGTGGCATCCACAGTAAGATCTCATACATCTCCTAGATGATGTTTGTGAGGGCTGAGCCAGAAACAGCGCTGGTGGTGGGGGGAAAGGAGAAAAGGGGAGTATGCTCTTGGGCTTCCTTCCTGTCTTGGCAGTTACTGGTTATCAGTTGTGGGAGGGGGGGGGAAGACATCATATCCCTTCTTTACAAGAGTTGCCTCCCTTGATGATTGCTGGGGCAATCAGGCCAGAAGAAGCCATGGTCTGGGAGGCTGTGATATCCCCTGCAACAGGGTTCAGGGTTCTGGACTGTCTTCACCAGGATCTGATGTGAGGTAGTGGTTGAAGGTAGTGGACTGAAATCCTTGCTGCCTTCAGTAACTTGCCTTCTCTCTCTTCCTCTAGAGAGTTAACCTTTCTGGACTCAGTTTCTTTATCTGTAAAATAAGGGCTTTGTATTAGATGACCTCCAATGTCTAAATTTATGATTCTATGAGCCCTGAAAAAGTTACAGAAAGAAAACATATGTTAGGACAAGCTACTGAAGAAATCACAGGTAAAACAATCAGAGGCAACTAACTCCATGGAACTACATCTGAGAGGATTTCAGAGTAGAGTCATTGGCTGGGGAGTGGGACATAACTCAAAAGAAAACTCTATCAGGCCTTGGGAGTGCAAGGGTCAAGGAAGGTTAAATATTGAGTCAGGATAAAACAGTATAAGCAATCTGGAGAAACTACTCCAAGAAGAGGTCAAAATAAACTTTAAGCAGGGATCAGGAAAAACACAGAAACCACTGCAAGAACAGGAAGCCTGGTGAAATTACAAGGATATTCTGAGGACCAAAGCCTGAGGGAGGGGAGGGGCACCGCTAAGAACTTGGGTACAGGGAGAGGAATGAACTTGTTTAAGAGCACCATCTCCTTTGCACACAGACCCTCCCCATACAACTTCCAACTTCATTAGGGAGAGCTGAGCCAGAAAGGGTTAACCAAATGAGGAGGTAGTTCATGCCAGGTAATTATACAGAACTTAGAAGGGGGTGTTAATTACTGGGTGAGATACTCTCTTGGGGTTCCATGGTTTTTGGTTAGAGCTTTGAGAGATATATGTTTTCCACTCCTCCCACATACCACCATCCAACTCAGAATAGCCTCCCAATGCCACATTCCTACAGGATGCTGGAGGAGGGAGATAGAGAAGCCTCTTCCCTTCAGTCATTTTCCTCCCTCCCCACACCCACGACCTAGGCTCTCTCATCTCCCTCCTCATTTAGGAGGTCTAAGCAAAGGAGGCTATGGGAATCCACTTCCTTAGAAATTTGGACCCCAAAATTGAGGTAGGGTAGGATGTCTCAAGAGAGCCTTGGAGGCAGGACAGAGAAGATAGTTGAGGCTCCCTATCAAGATATAGGTACCTTCGGAGTCCAGGTCCCCCATCTCCCTTCTCTGCCCTTGCCCTTTAAAAGGGTTGGGATCGGGGAAGGGGTGAATGGGAAACCTGGCAGAAACTCCCTATGGCCACCTACCCTGGCTGTGTAGACGCTTACTGTTTCTGGTTAGGAACAGATGGTCTCCAGGTACAGATTCTGGTTCTCCCAAGCCCTGGATATAGATTATCGGACTCCCAAAATACTGCAGCTCCTCTTCCGGTAGGTCCGATTCCAGGGCCCTTTGCTAATAATGGTCAAGAACAGTACTTTCCCCCTATTTCCACACGTGCATACATGAGCACAGAGATGAGCATATACACACAACACTACACACACACACACACACACACGCACACACGCGCTCGGATGTCTCGCCCTTTGTTGTTCTACCAGCCGATACCTGTTTCTGTCCAGAAAGAACTTGGGATACTGCCCCTCAAATCCTTCCACTTCCTACACACCTCAATCCTAACTGATTCTCCTAGGACCCTGCCAACTTTTGCTAGGAACCAGTCAGGACCTTGAAGGGGGGGGGGGGCCTGATTGTTGCCTAGGTAACGTTATGACATCACGGGGGTGCCCCTGGCTAGGGGAAAGTTGCCTAGGAAACCAGAATAGGGGGCGGAGTCTCAATCTGTGTAGGAGTTTTTCGGGGTGGGGAAAAGAAGAATCCAGGTGTTCGGCACTTTCTCTCTTCCTTTGCCTCCTAAACTCCAGGTGGTGCCCCTTCCTCCAGGTTTGGGGCTAGTCTGGAGCTAAACGCCAGATGACCCTAAAACTGTCTGACAGGAGATCTCAGCAGTTTAGCCATTTCACTTGGACATCACAGAGTTTGAATGGGCAGCAGGGAAGGAATACGGAAAGGAAAAGGGTCTGTGGCCCAGAACTATTGAACATAGGTGACAGAAAGGGAAACAAGAAGTTACTTAAATGGAAAGAGCATACCCTGGGAAATTAGCCTTGACTCTGACACAACGGCCACGTGATGATCTCGGGCAAGTCCCTTTACCTCTCTGAGCCTCAGTTTCCCTATTTGTAAAATACAGGAGTTCGATTAGCTGTGTTAGCTGCTTTATCTTTGCTAAGACCTTACCATTTGCTGGTCCTTCCCATTCATAGACTCCAATTTCTAAGAAGATACAAATGAGCACATTTGGCTTCATTACCACCTCCAAGAAGCTGCAACTTGAGATCTGTCCACCAGAGGGCAGAATTGTCTGATGATTGGACTGTAGCTAGAGGTTGAAGCAGACAGACACCTACAGGGTCAAAAGGGTGGGGGGGACCCCAGGTGGTAAAAACTGGAACCTCTAAGAAGTGGGTAGTGCCCATGCTTTCTTACTGTTCTCTCTGCAGCCTTGGACCCCACACACCTCCACACATAACCACAAAGGCTGGTTTAACTTGATCTCTAGTTCTAACTGGAAGCAGCTGGAAAACTGCTTTATGAGAATCTGAGATTTCCCTCCCATGTTCTAATTGGTCTAAAGCTGAAGAGGAAGCCAGTGGGTCCCTCTCTTCCAGAACTGCCCCCTCTCTCCATGGTTCTCCTTCAAAGTTTTTGTAACCCACTGTCCAATCCCCTTCCTCCTGCCAAAACTATTCTTCTAACAATGAAATCACAAGTCTGGTGAAAAGAAACATACGCACATTAGATATCTATATATAAATATAGATATGTGTGAATGTATGTGTATATGTGTGTGTGTGTATACACACACATGTTTATAGATAGGTAGATACATAGATATCTAATGTGTGTAATGTATATGTGTGTGTATATATGTGTACGCGTGTATCCCAAAACCTTGCATAGAGTAGGTTCTTAATAAATGTTTTTCTTTTTGTTTGTTTTGTTTGTCTATTTTTGTTAGGCATTGGGGTTAAGTGACTTGCCCAGGGTCACACAGTTAGTAAGCTTAATAAATGTTTTTCAAATTGAATTTCTGCTTCCCATTTCACCCTTCTCCCTCTTCTTGCACTTTCTCATGCACATCCCACCTCTTCACCTCCCATGCTGGTCTTTGAGGGCATCCAGAATCAGAAATTTTGTTCAACTCTGATCCTAGAGAAGGGACAATATAGCCATTTAGCAAAGACATTATGATTAAAATCATCCATGAACTTCAGAGAGAATGCCCCAAGGCCTCAGAGATCAGGAAATAAAGAATCTGGGGGAAAACTAGGATCCCAGGAAAAGAGGCAACCCAAACCAGAAAGTAGAGATGGGATTAGGAATCTTAGCATTTAAATCAACCCAGGGCTGAGTCACTCTCCCCCTCCAGACTCTGGGGACACACCCTAACACACCCCTACTTTGTTTTAACCACCTAAATGCATACTCTCGAGTTCAAAGGCTTTGTGAAAAGGTTAGTTCCCAACCTCCCAACTGTAGTCATCTAAATTTTAAATGCTGTTACTCCAAACTGTGGCTTCTTCAGGTGCATCTTATTCCCCTCTGAGAACCCTCAGGCATTAGTCTAGGAAATGTGGGATCTTAAAGCTAGAGCTGAAATGGACCTTTGAGGTCATCTAGTCAAACCTGCTCATTTTACAGATAAAGAAACTGAGGCCCAGAGAAGTGAAGTCACTTGCTCAAGTTCACACATAGTAGTATTAGAATAGGAATTTGAACTAGGGTCAGACTCCAGAACCAGCCTTCTTCCCACTGCACTGACTCTGCCTCTGGACCCAATCATTGTCTGACTCTTGTTTCTGCCCACGATCATCCATTATTAACTTTTGCTTCTCTTTCTCCATTATCTCCCTCTTCCTTCCCATTTAGTGTCTATCCACCCTAACCTCAACCCCTCTCCTTCAATGTCATTCCTCCTGCCAAGACTCTGATCCTTTTCCTCCCAAGTGGTCCAGTCTTTTGGACAAATTTTCCCGCCTCTGAATCTGTCTCTCTCTCTCTTACACACTTTTTTCAGCATTCTGTCCCATATTATCCTTCCATTCTCTGGGCTTCTCTCTATCCTTTCACCCCCCAACCCCCATCTAAGCGTGTCACTTAGTTCCTGTCCCCGTCCACTTCAAACTCTGCCTCCCTCTTCTTTCCCTTCTATCCTCACAGCACTCCATCTTTGTCCCTCTCTTCTTGGCTAGAGTCTCCTCTGCCCTGTCCAGTGCAAGTAGTACTCCCTTCTCCCTTTTTTCATCCTCTCTTTCCCCTCCATATCTCTGCCTAGGTTTCTGGGTCCCTGTTCCCCGTATGGAATTCAAACTGCTTTCTCTTATGCTGCCCCCCCCTTTCTCTCCCCCCCCCTCTCTCTCTCTATCTATCTCTCTCTCTCTCTCTCCCTCTCTCCATCTCCTCATTCCCTAGGTCTCTGTTTCTGTCTTTGTCCCTCCCTCATCTTTCTTTCTCCCCTTCTGTACCTCTAAGAAAGCTTTAGCCCTCTATTTCAGTCTCTCCTGAACTGTCTTTCCAGAGTCTCTAGATCTCTCCTGGGCTTGAGGTCTCATGCTCTCTAGCCATGTGTGTCCCACCATCTCTGGTTCTTTCTCATGAGTTTCTAGTCTCTGTCCCTGTCTCTTCCGATTCCTGTCTTTCCCCTCTTGGACTCTGTCTCTCCAAGCTCCCCCACAGGTGTCTCTGTCTCCCCTGTCTCTGGCCTTGCAACCGTCTCGTGCTGCTTGGGTCTCTCCCCCAAGAGTCTCCCCATTCTCTCTCTCCGGTTCTCTGTCCCTGTCTCCCTGAGGAGTCTCTGTCTCTACCGTCTCTATCTCTAAGTCTCTCTGGGCTCCCTCTCTAGCCTAGGATGACAGCGCTGCCTCTTTTGTTGGCTCCGCAGCCAATCGCGGCCGCTGACGACACGGGGGCCGGGGCTATAAAGGGCCAGGCCCGGGCTCCGGCCCCCCCAGCCTCCCGCCCCTGCCGCCCGCCTGCCCCGCCCGCCGCGCCCGCCGCCCCCGGGCCCCCCCCACCCCCGGCCCCCCCGGCCAGGGCAGCCCCCCAGTCCCGCGCGGCCCCGACCCCCTCCTCCCTCCCTCCCCCCACGGGACTCAGGCGTCCCCGCCCCCCCAGCCCTCCCTCCCCTCCCCTCCAGCATGGTGCCCGCGGCCCCAGTGCTCTTCTGCCTCCTGCTCCTCGCCCTGGAGCTGCGGCCCCGGGGGGAGGCGGCCGAGGGCCCGGCGGCCGGCGGGGAGCGCGGGACCCAGGCGTCCGAGGAGCCGGAGGGCTGCCCCGTGTGCGTCTGGCGCCAGCACAGCAAGGAGCTGAGGCTGGAGAGCATCAAGTCGCAGATCTTGAGCAAACTGAGGCTCAAGGAAGCGCCCAACATCAGCCGCGAGGTAGTGAAGCAGCTCCTGCCCAAGGCGCCCCCCCTGCAGGAGATTCTGGACCTACACGACTTCCAAGGCGACGCGCTGCAGCCCGAGGACTTCCTGGAGGAGGACGAGTACCACGCCACCACCGAGACCGTCATCAGCATGGCCCAGGAAAGTAAGTGACCTCGGCCCGGACGCCTTGGGTCTCCTTTCCCGGAGATACTTAGCAAAGAGAACGGAGTGTGGGATGGGGGGGAGGGGGCAGGACTGAAGGGGAGTGGAACTGGATGGGGGGGAGGGTAGAGTTACGCCGGTATCTAGACAAGAAGAAAAGTCCCCCCAACGTGACACCTAGGTCCCCTGCCTGAGGAAGGTAGCAACTTGAACCGTGTGCCCCAAATTTGCCCTCCAAATGGTTCAAAAACCATCATCAACCCAAGCCCTCGAGATAATACCCTTGCCCTCGAATCGAAGCCAGGGGCAAAGTCAGAGGGACCTACTTACCCCAAGAAGTATAGAGACGCTATCCCTCCCATTCGGCTCAGGCTAGGACCCCTGGGGGACTTCCCCTCCTTTTCTCCTATTCCAATCCACACCAATCATAGAGGGAGCGCCCTGGAAGTTTGGGGCCAAGTTTGTGGGAAAATGATATACAGTGATGACCCCAGCTTTTGTACCCTCCCCCCAACACACACACACACACACACACACACACACACACACACACACACCCGAGAGAGTTGAGAAAGGAAGGAGAAAGAGAATGCATGAAGATGGAGCAAGCAAAGTTTTCTAGCTTTATTGCTTGGTTTGGATGGCAGAGGGGTCTTTAATCAAAGCTCTTCCTGCAAACAGCTCCTTTTTTCAAATCCTGGCCTTAACCTAGCCTCTCCTACCCAAAGTAGTGGGGATTGAGAGTGGTTGGTGGCGGAGACAGTTCTAACATTCAAAAGATCAGAGTTTAGGGGCAGAGAGAAATTGATTTGAAGTTATTTGCATATTTTGTATACTAGATATATAGCAGAGTAAGGATTCAAAATTCAAATCTTGGTGTTCTAATTCCAAACTGAATTGCTATGGTAGGCACTCCAAATACAGCTTCTGCCTGCATAATATTATGACCCTGTAGTGCCCCCAAATTTTTACCCTAGGCATGCCCACTTGAGTCAAACCTTTGAAAATCTTCTAGAACCCATTAGCACCTGCATCTTCAAAATACCCATGTTCCAGGCTCTCTCTCCTGATTTCTTCACTACCAACCCCCAGAGTTAGTGTGGGGGGATCGAAATCCAATTTGACCTGCCAATTCTTCAGGCACTGTGAGACACTAGGATGCGGATTCCCATCTACTGTTGGTTGAGTAAGGAAGGAATCCTCTAGTCTACATCGTAGGTCAAACTTCTGAAGGTGTGCCCCCTCCCAAGTTAGGAGGATATGGAAACTTGATGTAGGGAATCAAAACACAGAACGGGGGCGTGGAAGACATGGAAAGAGATTGGGAGTGGGGGGCACCCAGCATCCTCGTTCTTGGCTGCCTGGGGGAGCGGAAGGTGAACATGTTAATAGACTTGTGGCTTTGAAATTTTATGACCTGGAAAATCCAGGCCAATGCTTCCCCCACCTCCCATCCCTAGGGGGTCATGTGATCCCCATGCCCCTCCCCCAGTCAGGTCTCCCCCCAAACTCCAGGGGGCCCAGCCCCCTCCTCTCCCCTGGGAGTTGGCTCCCCACCCCACCCCCAAGACTATTTGGTTTTATGGCCTCTGAACAGAAGGGGGGACTGGTTTTATAGGCAGATGGTTGTAAAAAGCTTGGGGGTGAGGGAGGGTCTGGCATATAGAAAATGCCCCCTATTAGGTGGCACTGAGAGCTAGCTGGTAGAGGGGCCTCACCCTACTAAGCTCCTTACATTATGGCATAGTATTTTTCTACACTTCCCAGAATGAACTCAATCTCCTCTTCGGTGTCAAGACTTTTGGGGGGTTCCAAATGGGAACGAGAATAATAGGGTCCTGGATGAAGAAGGCACGATAGTTAAGAGTAGAGTGGTGACCCAGGCAGGGCAGCCCTAGGGGAGTAGGGGGAGAGCACTGGTTTCTAGTAAAACGGGGGTATTTTATAGTGAGGGATTTAAGAAACTTGCTCCTTGCAGCATAGGCTGAGGGACCGACCTTAGCAGCTGAGTTACGGGTCCCAGAATGTATAATTATTGGTTTGGAGGAGTTTTAAACTCCTTTAGGCATCCTCTAAACTGAAGGAGTTTTTAGGTAACTGGCACGGGGATCAGGAATGACTGGACGACGGAAAAAGGAAGGCGGCAGTTTTGAAGGGGAGAGGGAGGATGAAACAAGCGTTCCCCCCAACCCCCGCCCCTGTAAACCCCATCCCACCCTAAAACAGGAATAAACTAGGGGCCCAGAGTTGGCCCGGGGGTATACGTCCCCTTTAAGAGCGAGCCAGAGATCTTCAGTAAGGAGGGGGAGTGTGGAGAGGGGAGGGAAGAGAGAGGGGAAAAGGAAAAAGAGACTTTTATAGTCTAATCCCCAGGGACCGGCTTTAATAAGAGACTTGTGCTCCGCTAATCAGGGGAGGTGTTTGTCAGCAGAGAACCTCCCCTCCCCCCTTCCCTCCCCTCCCCCAACCTCAGCCGGGCACTCAACCCTGGACCCCAGCCCCCACCCCTCCCAACCTTCTGTGCCTGACCTTAGAGCCCCCCATAGCCTCTTCAACCCCAGCCTCAGCCCCTCCAGTCAGTTCCCTCAAGTAGGGAACCGAATGAGATCTCACGTCCCCCACCTCAAACCCCTAACTTGCCCCTCTGCCCCCCAGGCCCTCTGGGCCCCTGTCCAGTTTTCATTGGGGGGGGGGGTGAGGAAGGGGGGGATGGGCTCTAGCTGAAAATAGTGCAGTGACCTCTCTCCCGACCGCAGACCCCCCCCAACCCCAGCGCCGCCTACTAAACCTGACCCGCTGCTGCCTGCCACCAAACAGCTCAATGCAACACAGATGTTGCCCCCTCCTAACTGCCTGAGGCTGTGGTGTGTTGGGGACTCCTGGCTGCTCCCCAATCCCCCCTTTGTGTTGACTGCTTAGTGCCTTATATCTCCCTCTCTTTTTTCTCTCTCCCCCCAACTAAAACTCAGGTGCCCCTTTTCCCTCCTTTCTCGTCATTTTCCCCCACTTTCTACCACCACTGCCTCTCTCCTCTTTAGTTTACTTAACCCTACCCCTAACCTCAGCTCCTTTCCCCCCCCACATTTCTCAGTCTCTCCCTTTCACTGTCTCCCCAATATCACTCTCCCTTCTGTAGACTCATCCATTTCTTCTCTCCTCTCCTCCCATCCCTGTTTCCCCAGAGCTGTGTTCTGCAGCCCCATCACTGCACACCTTGAAGAAGGGATGCTACATAGTAAAGGGGTGAGAGGAAACACTATATCAGTAATCACATCCCACACTGCACAGTGAAAGGAATCAGAGGCATGGAGAAATAAAACCTGGTCCTGGCTCCCAGCCCTGGCTGGCTGTTGGACAGCTCAGTGGACTTACAGTTTGGGACAAGGGGACTCAAGTAGAGCAGCTACATATGAAGAGATGGGCTTTACTGGAAGATGCCTGGGTGTACTAAGGAGGGGGCTAATTGACACAGGTCACTCGGGTGGTACAGCAAAGGATGATTTTCTCTTTCCCCAATAAGCCCAGGTGACCCTCTTTTTTCCCTCCTTTTTTTCCACAAACATGGACTTTTCTGACTTACCCCTCATTTTGAACTGCTTAACTTGAGAAAGTTGGAGGCATAAGGAAGTTTGTTTGTCCCAGCTTAGTCTTCCCATGATTTATATCATGTTAATCATTTTACCTTGGTTACTAAGGAAGAAACCCAAGAAAATTCTAGTTGCTGAGGCAGAAAACTCTTGAGACTTGTAACAAAAGGCATGACCATTAAGCATCTCTTTGCCATTCTCATGACACCCCCAACCCCCACCAGGAAGGGTCACTCAAGGGTGATGGAAACAGAGATTTAATTGTTCCCATATTATATATCAATAAGCACATAAGGACATTCTTCACACCCCTTCAAATCTTCTGTAGCCATTCCTAGATCTTTTTTCATGTCTTATTTCCTTATCTGTCTCTCTGGAGTGGTGGTTCTTGTATGGTCTGGAGGCAATCTAGGCTGGAGAAGACTAGAGATTAGAAAAAGGCAAAGAAGGGGTGATGCCTCACCCTTCCTTCCCAAGAGACTTTTCAAAATCCAATGAAATGATAGATCTTATGATCTTATCTTCTGACAGGATTAATTGTTCCCTTTCTCCATTGGCTACCAGAGAGAAATGGGCTGGAATTATATAGCATCTGGCACTGAACTGGTTTAAGGATTCTTCCTTTCTGGAAGCTATTCTTTTTTTTTTTCTAATTGCTAGGCAAATGGGGTGAAGTGACTTGCCCAGGGCCACACAGCTAGTAAGTGTCAAGCATCTGACACTTGTACATATTTGAACTCAGGTCTTCCTGAATCTAGTGGAAATTATTCTTTAAGAACCTAATCCCTAAAATGTGTGTTGGTATTGCTGAGTGGCAAGCAAAGAAAGATGGAGAAGATCTGCTCTGCCCCATTCTCAAACAATGGAACAAGTGATAGTAGGGACAAGAAATTAGCCTTGGCACATAAGGAAGGGGAATTTTGGTGGCATCTCTTACGCTTTATAAGGGTCATTATGGGTGTTCCGAATGGCAAAAGGGTACCTAGTCCGAATTCCAGAGAGTGTTTCACAGATCAAATAAGATATGTGTGTGTATTGTAAAATGCTTTACAAACCTTAAAGTGCTATCCTTCCCTTTTATATGTGACCCCAGGCCTACAATGTATATTAAAGGATGAACCTGAAGAGATATTAAAAGGAAACACACACAAACACACACACACACACACACACACACACACACCCCAGGATGAGAAACTGAGGAAGAATGATCGCTCTCCTCCAAAAAATAAACCCCTCCCCATCCTACTGTGTAAAGATTTTACCTCTGTATCCTCAAGCAATCCAGCACAATGCTTACAATACAGCCTCAGTTGCTTTGACAAATGTTTGTTTGACTGCCCCCTGTTTTCCATTTCCCGTGAGAACAGAATGAAAGGGATGACCTCAAGTTGTAACAAGAGCAAAAGAAATCTTTAGGATATAGGGGACATGGTCAAAGAGTGAAACAGAAAATAGATAAAGCTTTCAGAATGGAAGTGAGGTGAGAGCCCCAGCTGAGTGAGGAAGCCATTCTGCCTGAAGGTTAAGGGGCTAGGTAGAGACCACTCCAGGGATCCTGTGATTAAGAGGAATTACGAAGGCTATAAGAGTTCAGCCAGAATCAAAATGCCCATGATCTAAGAGAGGGGGTGGGGGAGAGGGTGATGTCCAGGAGCTCTGCCTCAGGCCCCTGACCCCCTTGTCTTGCTCCTAGAGCTCTCCCTCCCCCTCATCCCTGACTGATTCTGTCCTTTCCTCCCCTCTCCAGCGGACCCTGCCGTGCAGACAGATGGCAGCCCCCATTGTTGCCACTTCCACTTCAGCCCCAAAGTGATGTTCACAAAGGTGCTGAAGGCCCAGCTGTGGGTGTACTTGAGGCCAGTACCCCGCCCTGCCACTGTCTACCTGCAAATCCTTCGTCTCAAGCCCCTCGGTGGGGAAGGAACTGCAGGAAGTGGGGGTGGGGGGGCGGCGCCACATCCGGATCCGATCCCTCAAGATCGAGTTGCACTCAAGATCGGGCCACTGGCAGAGCATCGACTTCAAACAGGTGCTGCACAGTTGGTTCCGCCAGCCACAGAGTAACTGGGGCATTGAGATCAACGCTTTCGATCCCAGTGGCACTGACCTGGCTGTTACCTCCCTGGGGCCAGGCGCTGAAGGGCTGGTGAGCACTGCAAGTGGAGGGAAGGGGGGGAAGGGTTGGCTATATAGGAAACCCTGCCTTGAGGGAGGGGAGTAGTAGAGGGGAATGTGGGGGGTTGCTGGAAAAAAGTGGTAGGGATTCACAAAAGAGAATCACTGGGAAACGTGAACATCAGATGATGTTCTGGGGCTAAAAGGTTAATGAGGGCAGAGGGAACAAAATTCAACACTTAGAGAAGGGTTTTTTGGGAGGAACCATACAGATGAGTGGAACAGGGCTCCTAACTTAGAACCACAATGGCTAGAGGGAATTTGGGCTTGGGCACAAATTACAAAAGAGAGATTCATGGATAAAGGATCTGCCATATCCAAAGAGCACATAGATTGGTAGAGTTCAGTGGTTTGGGGATTCATTAGGATCTGGGTTTGCATCCCAACCTTTGGGCAAATTTACCTTCTTTTGGCCTCAGTTCCTTCATCTGTAAAATAAGAGAGGGACTGAACTAAGTCTAATATGATCTCTGAGATCTACCTCTTTCAGCTCTACATTCTGTGATTTGGTATTACTGCATTAGAGTAGTTTAGGTACATGACTTGGCTCGTGACTTAGGGAGGGAGCTGGGGTGGCCAGAGGGAATTCAGGGAACAAAAAGGTTTAGCTAATGGGGGGTTGCTAATCCCTATTAGCAGGAGTTAGGGATGGTTATTTAGGGGCTGGGAGAAAAAATTGGAGGTGGTACCTGTAGCATGCATATTCATCCTTCTGGTGTCCAGGATGGTGGTGCAATGTCTTCATCCTCCTGGGTGTCTCAGGGCTGAGAGCAGAATGGAAATGGAAGAGTTAGAGGACAAGAGCTGCTGCAGGAAGCCCCCATTGTGACATTTTTTTCCCCCTCTGCGTTGCCAGCACCCATTCATGGAGCTTCATGTGCTGGAGAATACAAAACGATCCAGGAGGAATCTGGGCCTCGACTGTGATGAGCATTCCAGTGAGTCCCGCTGCTGCCGATACCCACTAACCGTGGACTTTGAGGCCTTCGGCTGGGACTGGATCATCGCGCCCAAACGCTACAAGGCCAACTACTGTTCTGGCCAGTGCGAGTATATGTTCATGCAGAAGTACCCACATACCCACCTGGTGCAGCAGGCTAATCCCCGAGGCTCAGCTGGGCCTTGTTGTACTCCCACCAAGATGTCCCCCATCAACATGCTCTATTTTAATGATAAGCAGCAGATTATCTACGGCAAGATCCCCGGCATGGTGGTGGATCGCTGTGGCTGCTCTTAAGGTGGGGGATGAGGACCCTCTCCCCCCACAAACCCCACCCTGGATCCCCAGCCCAGACCCTCCCCCCCACCCAGGCCCTAGAGCTCCTCCCCCCCAACCCCTCTTAAACAAAATGTCCTATTCCCCATCCCACCCCAAGCAGTGTGCAATACAGCAGAGGAAGGTAGGGGGATAGAGACAAGAGGGGTGAGGGATATGTAAGGGAAAGGGCAACGGGCAAGTTGGGGAGTGTTTGGGATTTGCAGGTGAGGGTGTGTGGAAAGAAGATATAGAGGGAGAGAGTGAAGTAGAGACAGAGATAGAGACAGGCAGAAGGACAGGGAAAGAAGAGTGTGAACAGGACAAAGGGATAAAAGAGGCAGAGAGAGACTAGGCAGAGATGAAATCAAGTGAGAAATATAGGGACAGATAGGGACAGAGAGTGAGCCTCATACCAAGTCTTTTTTTTTTCTTTTGGGCCTGGTGAAGGGTTTGGTGTAAGATGGGACATTCCATACGTGCACCATGGCCTATAGAGGAGGAAAGAGGGGTGTCAAACCCAGGCCCAGATATCTCCCTCCTTCTCATAGTGGACAGGGCAAAAGGGGGTAGGAGTCGGGGATGGCAAAGAGTGCGAAGGATTTTGACATTTTATTTATTTATTTATTGTTATTTTTCTTTTATTTTCTGGTGTTTGGCTTTACATAGAAAGAGATTCTGAGATTCCCCCTCCCCTTCTTCCACAGTGCCCTATTTTACTTCTTAAATCATGGAACCCTACTTATACCCCAATACCCACCCACTCAAGCACTTGTATAATAAACATCCAGGGTTGTGAGTTAGGGGCAGAGGGAGTCTGAATTCCCCACACAGCTCACTTTCAAGTTTAATTGTAGAGCCAGTGGTCCTAGACAGTAAGGCCCAGAAGGGGGGGCGGGGTAAGGGAGGGAGGGGGGAACAAGCAAAGCCCCAACATGTCCAAGTTCAGTTATGACAGCAAATGACTCCAAGATTTACCCTTTCCCCTGTTCAGTGATATCTAACTAGAAGGCAATGATAACTGGTCAGTGTGCACAAATGCCCCCTAGCTAAGAGAGACCAAAGAGCCTGTGGTATCCCTCTTCCCCTTGCCATTTTCAGGTCAGTAAAAGGGCCATAGCTTGAAACTAGAGGCCCCCTGAGTCCCAGGGTTTTTGAGGGAGAGAAAACAGGAACTGTACTAGTTGGGGGAGTGGGGACTGGGGGAGGGGGGAGTTAGTGATGATTCTCACTGAAGGCTTTGAAGAGTTTAAATAAAAACTACCACCCTGGGCTGGGAATTGGAAAGTAGCAGACCAAGGGAAGGAGGAATTATGGAGAGAGTATTCCAAGTCCCACAAGCTCAGGGCAAGCAGAGAAGGGGAAGTGATGAAAGTGTCTATTACTCTAATTATGATTTTTATCTTTTTTTTTTTTGGAAGCCAGTAATACCTGGCAGCAAAAAGTGGACACGTCAGAAAGTGTGTGTAGTAGGGGATGGAGCATGACAACAAGCTAGTTAAGGCAGAGTAGGGGGAGATGGGTTTCCAAAAGCAAGTCATTCTCCTGTCCCCTCCCCCAGTTCCCAATTCCTAACTGCATTCCCCTCCCACCTATCCTTCTCTCCCCTTCCCTTCCCCCCCATGCCTCAGTTCCCTCCTCTTGGTGGAACAGAAGCAGCAAGCAGCTGAAGCAAAGAGATGAATCCTGAGCACTTACCACGGGCACTTTACGGACATGAAATACCTCTCGATATTTGGGGGAGCAAAGTGGGCCAGGGCGGATGGTGGAGGGATGTTGAGGGCTGCAGGGAGTTTTAAGGTCTGGTGCACTGGGAAGCATATGGTAGGAGAAGGCTTCACAAAATAGGGCCCTCAACAAAGATTTAAGGGAATTCTCCCTCCACTGGTTCATTTTTCATCTAGATCCCTGGGGCCCTCTTTAGTCCTGTAGAAGGCTACAGAGATATGAAGATATGCCTCAATAGGCAAAGCTCTGAGCGGTCACAGTTATGACCAGGGGCCTTGCTGGGGATAAGATTGGGCCACAGACAAAGGCACCAGACTTATTGTTGTCGGCAAGTTTATTCAGAAGGCCCACCATATTCTAGCCTGCCCTGAGGAGGGTGCAGGAGCCTGGCCAGATGAACTTGACTATCTTTCCCTGGTGAGGGGATGATGGGGGCCTTGCAAGGCATTCTTTTTCCCATTCTCAGGAGAGAAGGTACTTTGGGGGAGGGGTGACATCTCCTTTTCACCCCTACCTCCTAGTCTTGGCAGGTTCCCAGTCTTTCCTCTCCAGCCCTGTTCTTTACTATTCTTATCACCCCAATCCAAGAAAAACTATCATCACCGCCACTCCTCATCCATGGTGGGGAGGGAGGGGAGAACCAGAGAGGTCAAGATCAGAAGATGACTCTTCCCAAATCAACACCTGATCACAGGCCCAGGGGCCAGGCAAGGGGCAGGGGCATCATATGACCTCCCAATATAGGTTCTAAGGGAAACTAGAGCCTTGAACTTGGGGGGATACTTAGAAGACACCCCCATTCCTACCAAATAAAGACCTTGGGGGAATCTAAGGCTCTTTTTCTTTTGGACATGAACCTATTGAGTCTCAATCCCCTGTCCCCCCAAAGAGGTTATTAGAGACAGGGCTCAGAGACACAAAAGGAGCTAGGGAATGTTCCCCTGCTTCAAGTATGTGGACAAAGACAGTGCCCCCTTTGAACGTATCATAATTATTATTTACTTTTGTGTATATGTCACACTGTGTACATGAACAACTTTCTGTATTGGTCACCTGAGAAGGTTGGGGGTAATAAGAAGGGATGTCAGGGGGCACAGGGAAGGCCTTAAAAGAATAGAGAACTTCTTTACCAAGACAGTCTCCCCAAAGGATGCACGGAAATGAAGACATGGGGAAGTTTCTGAGTTAAGTGATATAGGACAGAGATAGCCATTGGCCCTTTTTGGGGGTTTTTTAAATGGTTTTTTTGGAGTTTTGGGGTGGTCACATGACCCAATCTAGCACTTGAACCTGAAAGAAAAATAATAAAGTCAAAGAGTTTAGCACTAAGCTCTCCTCCTCCTATAGCCAAACTCATAGAATTTAAAGCTAGAAGGGACCTTAAAGATTATCTAGTCCCCTCATTTTACAGATCAGAAAAAGGCTCCTGGAAGTTAAATGTGACTTACACGTTGTGGTCACACATAAGTAAGCAGAAGCAGGATTCAAACATGCTGTTAGATTTCCAATATGCTACCTATCTCAGTGCATAGATAACAGAAGGAAGCATGACTAATCTCTCCCTGCTTCCAAAGAAGGCACATTGAGGGGAAATAGATTAATTCCCCAGTAAAGGAAGGAACACCGAAGAGGGTCCAAATTCTTCTGGAGAACTTAGATGAAAACAATCTTTTGGCCTGAAGGAAGGATAGAATAAACCCTAGGAAGATCCCGAATTCTCCCCTAAGAGGTTGAATTAGATGGTCCCAAAGGTCCTTTCCAGTTCTAAAATTCTATGATTTCAACCACAGCCTTTCTCTGCCTCCCTTTTCCCTGAAGCTGCTGCTTCTGCCTTGCCAAAGTCATAAATGAAACCAATGTGGCCATTTGGTCAATCTGTTGGTTGCTAGGCAACCAAACCATTTCCCCTAAGGTGTCCATGAGTCCAAAACCTAAAATTTCCCCATCTCTGGACTATAAAATTATCAGGCTGGATTCTAGGGCTGATCAGGAACGGGGTGGGGAATGGAGATATATATCACTTAGACCTTAGAGAAACCTCTTCTTACACACGGAACATTTAAAGTTGGAAGGGATCTTAGAGGTCACTAAGTCCAACCCCCTCATTTTATAGATAATAGCCATCATTTACATCATTTATATAGTGTTTTATGATTTGTAAAATACTTTACATATTATTATTATTATTATTCCAATTGAATCCCACAAGAACCCTGTCAGGTAGGTGCTATTATGCCCATTTTACAGTCAATAAAATCATAGGCTGACAGCATAAGTAACTTGTCCATGTTCACATAGCTGATAAGTGCCTGAGGGAAGAGTCAAACTCAGGTCTTCTTGACTCCAGGTACATTATTTGATTCACTATGCCACCTCTCCCAGATGATGAAACAGAGGCCCAGAGAGGTCAGAGGATCACAAATTTAAACCTTGAGGGGACCACAGACCAGAAAAGTTAAGTGGGCAGGCCATATTCCATGCCAAGCCTTTTAAGACCCTCACATCATGGTTACAGAACACACTGATGCTGTCACTGAAGACATCAGTAACCTTACTTTTAAAGTCTTTGTGTTTAGATGCCTCTAGGATTTTTTTCAGGGACTGGAAAACCAGATAATACTCATTATGCCAGTTATGACAGAGCTGCCTAACTCTGCCCTGGACTTGTCATCACGACAACTGAAACCCAAGAATATCTGAGGGTAGAAACACAGGGTACAAGGGCAGAAGGAATAAATTATACTGCACCCCACCCCCTCACTCCCACATACACATAAATGACTCCAAACACACTTGGCCTGAGCTAAAAATACTCTACCACTTCTCATGTGATTCCTATACTCCCTACTCTACCTGGAATAGAGGAAAGAGGACCCTCATAACACAAACCAGCAATTTCTGAAGGGGGATATTAGTACCTAGGCCCTACCCCCACCAAATGCTTTTCATCCAGTTGTGTGTCTCCACTCCTAATGTCCAATCCTTGGGTGTGGGGACAGAGAAGCTAGTTGTTCTCCAAGGTCCTGTAAAGGAGTAGGGGAATGAAGCAGGGCCAACTGGTTGAGGCATTTACAGCTTCCTGTTCCTGTGAGGAGGAAACTGAGGCAGAGTATAGCTAGGGCAGGTAGCACCCCAGGCCCTCACACTCAGAAAAAAGTGGAAGGAGGAATTAGCTATTTCTCCTTGGCCCCACCCCATATTCTTGCCTCACAAACCTAACTGGGATCTGCTCAGTTTAGGAAGCAAACCATGCATTACTTGCCTGATTTCCATGTCAACTTTCTATTTATTAATCTCCATCACTCCTTACTAAGTGGGTTCTGCAGCTTCTTTGGGGCAGGGAAGTCAATTCAATAAATGTCAATAAATAAGTGTCTACTAAGAGCACAATTCTGGGGATCTGAAGAAAAAAAAAATGACACGGAATGAGGAGGCTGGGACTGGAAGAGTTAGAAGAACTGAGAAGACTGAGCCTTAGGTTCAAGGGCTCTCTACTGAGAATCTCCAGAGAAGCAGAATGGGAACATTCCCAAGAAGTACAGATAAACAGTTGAAATTACAGGAGGGATGAAGGCTAGACTTTCAAGGTGGACTGACCCCCTGACAAATGAAGTAGGTGACTTTGACTGTCACAGGTTCTCCTTATCTGGAAACTTAGAAAAGGGGAAATTACCTTCTTCATGGCAGCCCAAGCTCTTCCATGTCTCAAATTAGAGCTCCAAAACAAGGGCAAACTTGCTCTCTTCAATATCAAGAAAGTTCTGCCCTTGTTTATTCCTTATCCCAGTGGTCCTTGAACCCTAACATACCCCCAACAGTTCCTATCCCAGGTTACCTGGGGAAGGAACTAAAGAATCACAAAAAAAAAAAGATATAGCCTTAAACTAAAAAGACCAATTCCCTCCAGTTTTTAAAGGCTCCTTCATTAATGACTGCTAGGAGGTCAGGTAACATACCAGGTTCAGACAGGGTAAAGAGGGTTTGGGACAGCTGCCTCCATCTGTTTTCTGGCTTAGTACAGAAGGAAGAATGGAGTTGAAGCAGAGTTAAATCTGAGTTCATTGAGAAAGTGAAAGATTTGGGGTGAGGGGTAGAAATAAGTCTAGTGCCTGCCAGGGCTTTTAGCAAATGAGGCCTGGTGACCTGGGGGAAAGATAGGTCCCTACCTTCTCTTACTACATTATTCTCAGGCTTTGCTCTTCTTAAGTCATTTCTAATGCTTAGTCAGTCTTTAATGAACTGCAACCTATTCTTTCACATTCCAGAAGGCCACTCATTCCCTCTGGTTTTACCTTCAGTGGATGGAGACCATTTCCATAAAGTGAAGAGACAGGGAAAGTTGGCATCAGTAACAGTACCTAAGAAGGAGAAGGGAGGTAGAGAGGAAGAGGAAGAGGAAGAGGGAGGGAGGAGGGAAGAGAGGGGGAAGGTCATTCCAATTGTAAAGCTTTGTTTGTTTAGTTGGAGAAGTGTCAAAAGTTTAACTGACTTTCTTCCCCTTGCTCCCTTCAGGGGCCCCCTAGTTCCACATACCCACTACCCCTTACATATCTAATCCAGGGTCTTAGGTTGGAAGTACAACCCATAACAAATGGATAAGCCCACAGTTGTCAGCCCACCAGAAACCACAGCCCAGGTTCTGCTCTCCTTCAGTGCCCAAATCTAGTTTTCTGTTCCTGTGCAGAAACCAGAGACTTATTTGGGGAAAGAAATTTTTTCAGTGTCAGTATAGTTTCATTCATGGGGATACAAGAATGGGCCTCCACCTTTCTACTGATCTGGGTTAGGGGAAATGGGATCAAAGGAGATCACACCCAACCCTATTCCCTAGGAGTCTGTCCATACAACAGGACAGGCTGGTCAAGGTCCTGACCCCCAAGATCCCTCCCCAATTTGAGGGAGGAGGTGAGTAAAAGGACCAAATGGTAGTGAGGGGGAGGTAGAAGGAATTTTCATGGGACCCCACTCCTCATGGCTACAGAGGAAAATCACAAAACCTAAAAGAATGGACTCCTATTTCCACATAAACTAGGTAATACTCTTCCTCCAATTTCAATAGCTGAACTTCATAGACAGAATTACTTTTTGTCTTCTTTAGAGGGTAGGATCCTGCAGCTATCCATCCTAACTTTAGATACAGAAACAATAAAGATTACAACAAAAAAGAATCTGTTAAGCCTCAAGGAAGACTTATAGAAGAGTAAGTCACAGAAACAGGAGTGTCAGCTTCCCTGAAGGTCTCTTGATTTCGTGCTGATAAAAGGTCCAAACTGTATGGAGGCAGGGAACTAGAATGACTTTAGCTCTTCTTCAGAAGAGTCTTTTGAAGGCCTCAAGACAAGAAAGACTAAAAGGGAGATTGTTTTTAAAGCCAAGATTGTGGGAAGAAAGGAAAATTTAAATAAGAGAAACCCAATTTAATGACTTCCCTTCTTGCCATGCCTCACCTTAAGTCTGAGACGTTATCTGTTTTGTGGAGCAAGAGGCCCTTGACAGAGGTACAGCAGGAACCAGGTGACATGATTTATTTGTGATGCTTTGTTGTATGCACCACCACCAAAAAGACACCTTTTCCCCTCCTAAATCCTTCAATTCCTTCTTCTCCTTTTGTCTATTATCCCTCTGGTAATACCAAAGCCTTGCTCACTCATCCAGGCCAATACCTGTTTAGTTCTTTCTCCTTCAAGGGAGGACTTGGCAATAGACTAACTGGATCCAAGTTTCCCCCACTCACCCTGGCCCTCTTTTCCTCCACTGCCTTTCCCACACTCAACCATGCTCCCTGCAGTTTTCTCTCTTGCAGCTATTCAGCCCAAATTAGTCACGACCAGCCCCTGGCTCAGAGAGGAAAAATCAATTAGGTGCCATTCACAGCACAGGGGCACTCCTTCCTGCCCCCCCCCACCCCAACAGGCCTACTCCAAGAGGGGAGCCCTAGTCATCAGGAATCAGCAAGTCCATCACACTTCAAAACCCAACACTTGTCCCACCCAGCTTTGCCCTCACCACTAAACCCCACTGTGTCAAAAACAACACAAACAGCCAAAGTTAACCAGAATAAGCATCACCTTAATATAGCAACTTTATCAGGAAATTAAGAGGAACCGAGGCAGGAGCTAAGAAGCTACCAAAGACAGTTGATCTAAGCCTTGTTATTGAGGCACAAACCCAGGGCAAAAACAATTTTATCCACACCTGGAAATTAGGAGCTCACTATCCCTTAGTTTCAACAATGACTGAAGGAAGAGTACATGCACACCTTGGACACCCTCACATTTGGCAAGATCTCCAGTTCCCCCACCTCCTAGTCCTAGGGACTAGAATAACTA